GTCACCCTCATCATCAACAGTTGTTTATCAAGTACTATTCTCAGGAGGAAGGAAGGAAATGCCATTTTCAAACCTGCTTTCTTTTTGTCATTTATCTTTTGAAATTGCTCTTTCAGCTTGTGTAGAACAGGCAATAGTGTTCTTTCTTGAATACATTTCCACAGCACATCATGGGACAGCCAGGACAATATCATTATTTCTTTAGGGCTTTATGCATTGTTTCTTAAAACCAAAAGGCAGGACATCAGTTTGTTCCTGTCCCAAATATTTAATGCCTAAATGAAACGGTGGTAAATTTAAGTGTGGAGCAGAATATGATTAGTGTTCAACTGTCCTCAAAAGACTTTGGCATATTTTAGCATTTTGTTTATCTAGACTATGTTAACATCGGCTCAGAAATAGAATAAAACTTAAATTTCTTATCTGTCATAATTACACATATCCAATAGTGTGTAAGGAAGTTGGCTGTAGATTCGGAGGCTGGGCTAAGGATGCCCACCACAACACCTTCATTCTCATTACCTCATTCAGAACAGGAGTCACTACTTCACAACTACGTCTGTCTGTTGCCAGGGAAACGGGAGAGTCCCTCGTGTTAGTGTGTGAGTGTATTATTGGCATGTGTGTGGCTGGATGTGTTTGTTTTAAACCTTTGTAGTGTATCTAACTCCGTTTAAAAAGTGGTGCATATGTTCTCAGATGACTGTCCACAGTGGGGTTTTTAAGCCCGGGTCAGCTCTAGCAGACGGCTGCTTGTCAGGTTTTTATGAAACACTTCTCAACAAAGTAATTAGGCTGCTGTTGGTTTTGGGTTGGGATTTGCAACCTTCTTGATGCCATGGCCTGTTTAAATGAGACTCAGAATCCCAAGATAAACCTACCTGTTGATTACCAGACAAATTCGATGCAGCAGATTTAAATGAATGCAGAAAAGTAACTTTTTTGTTTTGACATTCAGTTTTACCAAGATGCCCCCTGATGCACACATGTTTTCATTTGCAGTTTTTTGTGTTAAAAGTAGCAATTTGTCTGAAATTACTCATCCATATACATTTCCCATAACCTCTTATTCTTATTCAGGATGACAGGGTGCCAGAGTGCATCCCAGCATGCACTAGGTGAAACACTGAGAAACACCCTCAGCAGGTCATCAGGGGCCACAGAGCTAACAGACTAACACATAATAGTCAATTTCACTCAAACTCACTCTTGCAGCTAAGGCTGCCAGAGCTCGATGTCTGGAGGGAACATCCCACCAACATGGGAAGAACAGCAAACTACACATGAGGTTACCCAGGGATGAGTGAGAGAGGGATGAGTCCACTTGAGTTGAAATTTATCAGTGCCTTGAAGTATTATACTAACTGAATTTTTAGTTTTTAGATAAAGGAACAGGACCTTTAAATGAGGTTGTTTCCTGACTTCAGTAGTCAGTAGGGTCCTAATTTCCCATTATAGTTAATGGCTAGTGTTAATCTCCCTCCCTGATATAAATAGAACCTGGGAAGGTGCATAATGCATTAATATGCCTGCTCTTAATTTTGCTAGAATATAAATTATTTTTATCTAATAGTTCTATTTGAAATTAACTGTGTCGTCATTACAGTTAAATCTCAACAAGGCAAACCTGTGCTAAGAGGTGGTTCAGGAAGTCTCCAGATCATACTCCACCTGTAGCATCTCTCCTGTTTTCACACCTTATACACAGGTTTAGATGTTTTGATGCACCTGTGGTAGAAGCCAGTGTAGAATATATTCAACTAAATTCATGTAATATGACACTAGCTCATAGCAACTTTCATTATTTGTTTTGGACTAATACTTCAGTCCACTTCTGACAGACTCATGCTTCCTTGTGTATTCCACTTCAACTGCTCATCTATAACACAACAGCTCCATCATTGCAAGAAGCCTCTGCTGTCATGTTATTGCATCGTTCTTCACTGGTAATTCCACACTGCTAAATAAACAGGTACAGAAATGTCTCCAACCTGAATGCGAAAGACAAAGTGCTCCAGGAACAACCTATGCAGTTTAAAGTCAGATTGAAACCCTGAATTGTCGACACAGTCTGCACTGGTCTGTGCAAAACCGGCAAAACACTACAGAACCACAGCTTACATCTGGTAGTGTGTGGACCTGATCTTTGATGTATTCGTGCCTTAAACTGTCTAATGTCCTTTTTTTTTATAGTGATGCAAAGATAATATCAAACATTTAAATTTTTGTCTTCAATTTTCATTATAGTTTGAACTGGATGACCATGGAAAATTGATTGCAGTGTGCTTGACTGTGTTGTTAAATGTTGTGATAGAGAGTGTTTTTTTTATTTGGCCGCAATTACAAAAACTTCTACACCAAGCTTTCCTGATTATCTCTGCAAAGATTATTATGCAAAAAGACTTTTGTTCCAGCGTAACAAACTGCACATTGTATTTAGTTAACGAACTACAATCATTTCACTGTGTGATGTCTGCAACTGTCAACCACAAGGCAGAATTACTTATTTCAATCAAGTTGCCCCAAGCGCTGTGATCGAAGATCGTGTTAAACTGTCTAAACAATCAGATCCAGTCAATGGAGAAGGTATGAAAAATGTCTTTTGCACACTCAATATTAAGCAATTTCAAGCTCTGAAAGTGAATGTGTGTCGTACCCATCATCAAACCTGTGTGATAACATGATGTAAACAGCTGTTTTTAATTTCCCATTACAGGGTCTTGAGAGCAATCTGACCTTTGCCTTTTCATGTATACAGGGATTTCTTGTTGACATTGTTCTGGCTGATAACTGCAAGTTGCGTAGTTGTTGTGAAATGTGACCATCTTACCTGCTCCTCTTTGCTTCAACTACTTCACCTCCTAATCTGAACTCATGCTTTTGCTTAGTGGTACAGTTAAATCACATCCTTTGTATTAAGATCCATGCTGTGTTGGGGCAACCCCTCTGCAGGCCCTTGTATGTGTTTTTTGTTCCATGTCTAGTGGTCTGGAGACATCACAAGACTACAGAACTTTTCAGCTAGAAACACACTTGTGCAAGCTTTGTCTCCCTCTGCTGGAGTTTCAGTGGAAATACAAATGTACCCGTGTGGGGATATTACACTGGTTGTATCATGGGAGCATCAGATCCCCACCACACTTACTTTTCACTGTCAGTATTGTTGAATAACTTCACTGTAGGTTTAGGCTTAAAAGAGTAAATATTACACAGTAACGTGTATTGGCTTTAAGGCTTTAAGAGATGTCATCTAATCAAAGATCAATTCTTTCCCTTTCTCACATTCTGTCATGTTGTCTTGTGTTGTTTTACTGCCTGTTTGTTGTCTGCCTGTTCCAGATTTTTAAAGGTCTGGGACTCCCACAGCTTGTCGTACCCACACGTTGAGCACAATCCACAATTCAACTCCTGGGGTTTTAAAAGCGTATCCACTGACAAAAATGAACCCAACAAAAAGTCAGTTTTTTGGAGTCTAGACTTATCAGTCGGTTCACTAACCTTGGTTGCAAATAAGGCTGTACTTCCTGCAGCTGGGAGGTATCACAAAGGATAAGAAATCAGAAAACGACAGGGCAGCTCAGCATGCCACAGTGCTGCTAAAGCATGTTATGCTGAGCCAGTGGAAATGAGCATTGATGTGGTGTCGGGTGGCTGTGTGTTAGATCAAACAGTTTTACCACTAGAACACCACTAGAGGGCAGCAACAATTTTTATTTCATCATTGATGCTGTAATACAAATATTTTATATACCACAGAAATAATATGTTGTTCCCAGTAGAAATGCTTTGTGTACTTCATAGATATTTGTATGTTGACCACAGCACTTGTTTGTATAAATCTACTCGTCATAAATGTTTTCTTTATTGCAGATCCACATATATATCCAGTTAACAGTGTTCCTAGCACTGTAAGGTGCTCTGGGAAAAGCATATATATCCATTAGCATAAGCTATGTAAGGGAGGCCACAGTATTCATTTTAAATGCACATAGATATAGTGTGCCTCATCCAGAGTAATGGTACCATCAGTGAATTAGGTTTAATTGTCCTGTCAGCAATATGACTAGCAGTGGGAAACCATTACTGTGACCTTAAATATTCAATTCTGTTTTATATTTAGATCTAGTTTGTGGCCTGGTGATTTCTGAGCACTCTACAGCCAGTAAACACACAAAGCTGTAATGTTTGCTGTGTGTTTCCTAATGCATTATACATGCTTTTAGGAGAAATGTCAGCATAGAAATGTGCTGTAGTTACTGCATGTGTGGGTATCAGAATGTAATGTATATTAAAAAAATCAGCAAACCTAAAAGTTTCTTACGGTTCATCTGCCCTAGCTCAGCTTAAACATTGAGCAGGGCAGATCGTCACGACTTACAGTAACAGCAGCATTGTGTTTCTGTTGCATTGCATCACAAGAATATGAAGTACATGAAGTACCAACATGCCAGGACACTCACCCACTTTGTGATGGCTTCCAGGCTGTACATGGAAGCTGTTTGGCAAAGTTAATGTGGGTAGCATTTCCAATCTCTGAAGTAAAGGGTGGCTGCATAATTACACACATATTTCTACCGTGATTACTGTTGTCCTTTAGTATTTCCATTATTTTTAAAGCTTAAAAAGTGTCATTGTTGCCATATGTGATCATTATTATTCTCTTATTTTTAAATGTATAAGTGTCAACGATGCAGCAGGCAGTCTGTGTGTACATTCAGTTGTAGTGCAGCTACATGTGTTGTACACACAGACAGTCAGACAGCAAAAGTCTCGTTGTTGCAGGTAACAGCTGTGTGTTTGGAGTAAAACCATACACAAGCAAACATGCAAACATGAAAACATGAGATAAAGGAAACCTCTGTAATTTGTTATCTGTTTCTGTGTTTTGATAAACTAAGCTGAGCTACAGATGTAAACACACATTTTATATTTTAGGACATCCAGCAGCAGTGGTACTTTAATTAAGTGCAGTCCTTGGCTCATGTGGGGTGTTGTTGCAGGTTACAGCTGTGTGCTGGTAGTGAACGTGTGGTGCAGCAGGCCAGTCTTGGCAGCATGGTGAAGGCCCAGAAGTCAGCTGGGAGGAAGAGCTCTCACTGTCTCCGCAGACAGGTACTGAAAAAAAAAAAGACAAAAATGCCTGGATGTTATTGTCCAGTCTTTCTCCCTTCACTGTCAGATTGTGGAAAACACACTTATGTTATGAGTACACAGTACATTCCACTTTACACATTTGAAATAGCCAGCACCATGTGGTTGTCTTTATCTTAGTTCAGCACACACACTGTGTTCTCTGTTAGCATATGAAACCACTAATTTGCACAATAAGGTGTTCACAATATGTTTCCTGGATAAGGATTAAACTTAGTCTTGGCCTCATATAACGTTTCTTTGGATATCTCTACTGAGCCTATGTGTTAGTCAAGAATTAAAACTTTTAGTGCGAAACTAAAGTTAATCACTGTCCAGGAAACCAACCCTGTTTGTTTGTCTCTGTATGTATTCATGTGTTAGGGGAAATTACAGTGTGCACTCAGTTTGTGCAATGAAAGTCATGATATTAATATCCACACACATATTCCAGGAAACACCTCAGAGATTTACTTTGACTAGCTTCTCCTTTAATGCAAATACTTTATTCAGAACTCCATCCTCACAGTCTGCCATGCATTATGATACTTAGTCTAAAGATAAATAGTTTTTAAACTACAGATCATAATGAAAGTAACTGATGAGACTTTGATGTATGGCATATGCCTATTGTTATGAATATGGGAAATGAATCATGTTAAGTAATGAGTCATAATAACTATAATCCACTCTGCCTAATCCAGATTTCACTCGTCTGTTTCATTGTTCATTCCACCCTGTAGTTTTATTCAGCAGTAAGTGGAAATTCATGACGAGTCCACCTACTCTAATCAGTGCCCATTCTCTTGCTTTGTGCTCACTGCTTTTCACTGATAAATAAGAAATTAGTCATGAACAACTGATTGATTGACTGATTGCTAACTGAATAGTGGCACTTCATGGTGTTTCTTTTAACTTTTTCACTGGACAGTCTTGATGTTGAAGTCTTGCCAAAGTAACACACAGGTTTTGGGGTTGGGGTAATTCACTTCTTCACACTTTTCTACAGGCCATGACAAACTGGTTGAGATAAAACATTTTGGGTTGTTGTAATAGATTATTTGTGTACTGCACAGATGGCTTCACTGAGCCTGTGGAACATACTGTTGAGCTATTTTGTGGTCATTTGATTATGCTGTGGTACGCACAGTGTGTGTGTGTGTGTGTGTGTGTGTGTGTGTGTGTGTGTGTGGTTGTGTGTTGTGTGTGTGTGTGTGTGTGTGTGTGTGTGTGTGTGTGTGTGTGTGTGTGTGTGGGGATGACACAGTGTCCAAGTGGCGCGCTTGTCCTGTGGTGATGTGCTGTAATGTTCCTGAACGGCGGAGTCATTTATCCCCCTTCAAGGGCAGCGGGGACACGAGGAGTGAGACCGACAGTCACAGACAGAGAGAGAAAATGAGGATAAATTGGTGGGTGGGAGAGGAGGAAAGATTGGGGACTTAGAGGAAAAATAGGTGTGGACAAGAGGCACAGCTACACACACACACACACACACACACACACACACACACACACACACACACATATGTCACACTTGCACATACAGACGGATGTGTGCACACTGAAGGGCTGATGTGGAGTCACTTATCTGCTGAAGGGTGGCTGTGTGCGACAAGGTTAACATCCCCCTACAAAATCTCTGCATGCTCAGGACACATGACAGCAACACACACACACACACACACATACACATACACACACACTATCTATCTACAGTCTGCTGTGGTGACACCTCATTCTGTCCAAAAGATGTTTTTTTTTTCTTATTTTTCCAATAAGGGCAAATAACTCATGTTTATTAATGACACATACTCTTTCTGCTGTTGAGTTTATCTTAATATTTCTCAAGTTACAGATCAGGTTTTTTTTTTTAAATATTATATAAACCTTAGTGTTTCTTTAATGTATTTGTGAGGGGTTTTAGGTATTCAGTGGGTAACTGTGTCCATGTCTGACCTAGAAAACTGGTAATGATCTGGAACTTTAAACTTCACAATGCAAGGCCAAGGTTGATTTTTGGTGATTTGACAAAATCTAAAATCGCAACAATATATTTTATTAATGTAGCTACATAAATTTTCATCCTCCTCAGCTCATCTTTTTTATGTCTGGTTTAGCTCCCACAGAGTGGTGGTCAGACAGAGATGGAGGAAGGCCAGCTCCAGTCAGACACCCAGCATCCACCACAGGCGCAGCCCCATGGAGGAGACCAGTCCTCTGATCCAGCGCAACTCCAGACCTCTGCTTCTGCTGAGGCTCTATCTGAGAACTGGGATGAGAAGGAAACTCCAATGGACGTCCCGGAAAAAGGTGACTCTGCGTCCCAGGCCAAGCCTCTGTGGAAGCCCATTCCCCCTCTGCTGCCTGAGCCCGAGAACCACAGGAGCACTGCCACTGAGACCAGGGACCAGAGCTGCCAGACTGAGGAGAAGCTTCAGCAGACCAGCGCCAGTCATAACAAAGGTTGGTAACGTTTTCTCCCCTCAGCGCTTCCTGCTGCTTTGGTTCATCCACCTACAGGCTAAAACTGTTTGCCAGGCCCCTGTGTAGCTTCACTGCCAGAGCATTTCAGTAAGGCTGGAAAATGGCAGCTGAAAAGAAGAGCTTTTGGCTTTGATCGCCACAGTGTGCCTCACTGGTTAGCCCACATTATCAAAGATTTATGAACGTTTTATTCGGAGCTTGATTTATTACACTCGCTTTTGTATAACTTTCGTATTGTTTTGCTAAGTCATGTCTGATGGCGTGGAAGCCACAAAATGAACGGAACAGACTCATTAACACAGAAGGAAACTGATCCCGACTGAACCAAAAGTTTCAAAAAAAAAATACAGTTTATCCTAGAATAACTATTTAAACTCCAGAGTGTAATTCATCTTTGCCAGGAGTTGGGACTTGGTTCTTATCTAGGCTCCTAGGTGTTATTGGTTTGTGTCGAATTACATAAAAAACATTTAATTTAAAACTGATGATTTCTGATGAAACTGATAATTTCTGTTAAGTTTGTAAATCCTGTCCCTCAGAAACCACAGGCCCTCACTACTGCTAGCTTTTTGTGATTAGTTCATTTACAGCAGCATGTTTCATGACCCTGAAGCCCAACTCAACTCACTGACAGCATATTGTAAAATATACTACAAAGCTAACAAAGCTGCCATCATGATGATGTAATGTTTCTGTTGATTGCTGCCGTGTTTATTTCCTTTCCCTCTTCCTTCCTCTCATCTTGCCTGCGCAGGTTAATTTCTTTAGCCTTCCTCCTTCTTCCTTAAAAAACAGATGTGGATGTCTTGAGTCACATGTAAATCCTGCTACTGTGAGTTAAATTCTAACTTTGCTGCCAAAAAAAAAAACAGTCGCACCACTCGTAGTAAAGGGAAGCCGTTTGTGTAGACTGAAGTTTTCGGTTGGATGATCTTTGACCCTCTTGCAGAGGGGGGTGTGGAGGTCGGCGGGTCACTGACCTGCCCCGCTGGGATTATAGCAGTTTGCCTGGGAGAGGTGTGGGGGGATGGGGATGAGGAAAACACATTCTGTCACACATTAATACATAACCTCCATCTCGCTGTCTGCCAAAACCTCTTACACAGCTGTCATTCACATTTCTAGCTCTCTTTTTGTCTGCTTCTCTCTGGGTGTGTCAGTCCGTTTGCTGGTCTTTTCTGTCTTCTGTCTGTCTCTCACTCACCTACACACAGACCCACAAACACAAACACACACTGGCAAACGCTGCACTGCTTACCGTGTAGTATGGGTTGCGTGCTTGTGTGTGTGCATCCGAGCATGTGTGGAGTCAGCAAGGCTGAAAACATGCAAGCTCTCAACTTCCAGTCTTGTTTTCTGAGCAGAAGTAACTAAATCTTGGAAATAACAAAACCACAAAAAAAAAAATCTGTCTGGTTAAAATAATCATTTGATATATGTATATATTGTCATAAATTAGAAAACACAGCATTGTCCACTGATTGGCAGTAGTGCATCTTGGATAAAGTAAATTGTAGCTTGCAGGCTGTAATTGAAGTGCACGCTTCAATACGGCACAAACAGTGGATATTTGTCACAGCTTTGTCACATTGACAGAGTTTTATTTGGAGCTTTGTCCCTGTCATCGCTCTTACAAAATGCTCTTTTTGTTGTAGAAATGATGTTCTCACTGTGACCTTCTTTCAAATCAATGTAATGCAGTGGTTCTCAAACTGGGGGGCAGAACCCCCCGGGCTGGCATAGAGCCACTGCAGGTGGGGGGTGGGGGCTGGGGCGGTGTGGACGACCAGGGGAAGAATATCGAGTGAAACTAAGTTGAATGAACATGATACGTAGGGCAATAACTGAACGAGAGATTGCTGATGCCATTGTGCTGATTTCACTTAAATTCCTGTTTGATCCTGTTTTGATTGGTTGCTTCCCCTATCATTGTCACTGATTGATAAAAGATTGTGGGGTGAGGGGGGCGTGAACTTCTTTCGTCTTCTGAAGGGGGTGTTGGAATGAGAGAAATTTAAGTTGCATTCACACATGCACTGCAACCCTGAACTGATCTAGACATTTCCACGAGGAGCTGAACGTGAAAACACAAATGTCCAAATTAGTTGACCTGGACATTAAACGTGCCATGCCAGCCCCATGGAGCAAAGTCTGTTTAATGTCCAGTTGAGCCCATATGTGAATAGAGACACCACTCCTCACCAAACAGAATATTTCCAGTAGGTGAAAACGTGCCTGACACAGACAATCTCCTGTTGTATGATACGTGTGTGAAAGGGCAACTCCAGACTTTGTCGGCGTCATATGAGAAAACGGCTTTAGGCACTTGAGGTGATTACAGGGTCTGTGGGGGTGTGTGTGAGTGTAATTGGTCTATTCTTTTGGCTGTTTAACCCTCTTTCTTTTTATGCCCATATCTATGAAAAGTGTGTTGTGTGTTTTATAGTGTTGTTATAAAAATAAATATGTTAAAATAAAAGAAAAAATATGAAATCGGGTAGAAAGAGAGCACTTCACCTCCCCACAATGCCAGTAGCTCATTGTGTGTCAGCTGCTGTCAGCCTGTGTCAATAATGCAGGAACCAAAGCCCCACTCCTGCTATTTTATATTTAATGTTTTATACAAAGGAAAAGTAAAGCTGTTTGGCTCTGAGATCAATAAGTAAAAATAACACCCCTAAGTGTATTGGTTCACTTTTTTCCAGGCAGAAATATGTTCTGGACTTTGATGGTCTTTTTTAAAACAGAATGAGTCTGTTCTCTGCTGTATTTTAATCCTGATTGTTAAATATTTGTCAGGAAACAAACCAACCTTTTTTGCTGAGAAAATCGACATCATGCAGACTTTGAAGCTGAAATAGGTCAGATGTAAACTGTATATATTTCACATGCCAATTAGGTGTTCGAAAGACAGTAATATTGTGCTAGTTGACTGGTTAAAAGTAATAAAGGGAAGTTATTATAAAGGCAGGTCAATATATCAAACAAAACATTAAATCCCCACCATCATCAGGATTGCTGTTTTCCAGCTGACCCTGCACCCCCCCCTGGTGATTGAGGTCGAGCAAAGGCAAACCCATTTTCCAATACACATTTCAATAAATTTCCTACTGGTCACATTCCTGATTGGGCAGGATGAGATGCTGCGCTGGCTCTCACCACTGTTGGACTAAGCACAAAAATAAGTCGTCAGCATGCGCCCCCCCCCCCCCTCGCCCACTGCATGTTTTCCTACGGTCCCACCTGAGCTTTAGTCGCCTGAACAAGCATCACTGAGAAATTTGATTTGTGAGGATTGATTTTCATTCGTGTTTTACTGTCCGCACCCTGTATTTCCTTCCTGTTCACATCTTTGATAGAGCTAAGGAATACTGATCTTAGAAGGGAAAGATAAATGGCCTTCTTTCTCATACTCATCCTTGAAAGTGTGTGTGCTGCGTGTGCTGTGTGTGCAACAAGGTAATGAGGTCAGAGTGAATCACTGTCCCGCAAAGACCTCATTGTCTGACTCTGATTGCGTGTACCCTTTAAGCGCACTGCAATATACTTTGTGTCTTACCAGGTCCCCAGAATTCCCAGGTGATGCTGTATTTCTCAAAGACTGTCATACTCTGATGTAATTATATGCTGGCTTTGCTACAATGCAATCTCTCTCTCACTCTCTCTCCCCCTCTCTCCCCCTCTCTTCCTCTGTAGGTTTCTGTGTGGAGCCTGGAGATCCTCCTCTGCTCCAGCAGCCTTTACAAACTTCCAAGTCTGGGATTCAGCAGATAATTGAATGCTTCCGCTCAGGTTTGTGTCCGTGTGTTGGTTTTTTGTTTTGTTTTGTTTTGTTTTTTTACTGTCCACTCATTTTTTTTATTTATCGTTTCCTGTCATAGCTTCCTTCTGTTGACTGATTTCACTGTTATCAGACCTCGGTGATTAATGTTGGCCGATATGGCGGCATATACCATGCATAACAGAATGTGTCCACCCGTAGAGATTTGGTAATACCGTTTCCACCACGGTTCCTGTCCCTTAGTGTCTCTCTGCTAGATATTCAGGGCAGGCAGTGATCCACTGCCTCACAAGATAAAGTGATTTGGGCAGCATGACTGGTTACTGTGTTCTCAGGTAACGTGAGAGTGACAGTTGGTGGCAGTAATGCATCCCTAAGCTGGTTTGCCAACCACTGCAGAATAAGAGAGTGACAAGAGAAATGGAGGAGGTGAGTGAAATATAGCAGTAAATGCAGAACAGGAGGCATCTCAGCCAGCAGAACAGTTACTGTATCAAGATTAGTTACGGTGCTATAAAATGACATGTTCCATGATAGAAGAGTTTTGCCGTATTGCCCACCCCTACTGGTTGTGTAGGCATGTCGAGGCCGGTTTTCCATATGAGAGGAATGACACAGTTGCTTGGTTGTTGCATAGATTGATGACCACGTTTGAAGTTTCCTCCAACAACTTCACGTCTGTTTTTTCCCTTGCACCATTGAAAATTGAACTGTCAAAAAGAAAAGAAGTATGTACAAGAATGTACTCGATGTAAACCAGTGTTTATCAAAAAAATGTCAGTTGTCTGTCAGTGGTAGTCCATCACTAATGTAACTTCTTTTAGTTGATTCACAATAAAAGCCTTCCTGTGGTTCATTGGTATTTGATGTATGCTTGCCTTGCGTCAACATTCCTTAGCACAGCAGCAGATAGCTTCGTTTCCTGGGTTACATTAAACACAATATGGCCATTTTGAAATTGCTGCTTTTTCTCTTGTTGCCTTCTTACATGACCACACGTGTTTTGAGCCAGCCATGTTAAGTTTAGTGTGACGACCAAAGCTCCTCCGACGGTTTGCTCTGCTCCCAGACAAGGCCATAATACTGTGGGTCAGTGCGGTTATCCCATGCTGCTGTGGTAAACAGTAATGCCACAGCAACATGGTGGCAGCTGCGAGGGTGTGTGTGTGTGTGTGTGTGTGTGTGTGTGTGTGTGTGTGTGTGTGTGTGTGTGTGTGTGTGAGAGACAGCAATTTGCGCAGGTACTGTCAGCTGTGTGAGTCACCATAACAATGTTTACTCATTTTGGATGCAACGTGTGTCTCTGCGTCCCTGTGCGTGTATGTGCACACGTGAGGTAAATGTCTAAGAGAGTGTTGAATGAATGCGATGCAATGAGTTGTGTTTTTGTCAACAAATATGAGTCAGATCTCCAACAAAGCCCTGGATTCTTCCATATGGTCAAACTGAGCTGAAACTGAACATATGAGTCAGCATGTGACAACAATGATGGGATGTAAAGTTGATGACAGCTGTGACGCAAAGTAACATCTCATATAAATACAACATCTGAAATCCTTTAAAAGTACAAAGAAATTTTTTTTTTTGTTTTTTTGGGGACTAATTTACCCAACAGACCTTTTAGACAGACTGGAAGTTATCAGCTCTTCTTCTCTGCATAATTCCTATTTCCATCGCTTCTTTTCTTTGTCTTGCAGGCACCACCCAGCTGAAACACATGCTGCTGAGGGAGGTGGACACCATCTTTGAGTGTAAACTGTGTCGCAGTCTGTTCAGAGGCCTGCCCAACCTCATCACGCATAAAGAGTACTACTGCCTGTCACGGCTGCCCGATTCCGACGGTTAGTGACACAACACATTAGCATGCAGACACATACACACACATAAACATGTCTAGAATATTTACCCATCAGCTTTTATACCCATAGCGCCGCATAAAAGATATTTTCATGGGCATTTGTGGTTCTTTGTGCTTTGATCTTAAGACCCTGTTGTGGATATTTCTCTTTCAGTAAATGTGTAGCATTCTTCACAACTGGAGATGGACAGATTTGAATTTTACGCATATTAAAAGTGGACCACAAATGGGGACTGTATAATTCCAGTGTCAGGGCTGGATGGTGAAAAATTAAGTGTTTCAAAGAAAAACCATTTTGTTTATCCAGTAATCTCACAATTAACGCCCAAATCTCAATGGTGAAAAACAGACACCAATTAAGTAATTTATCAAAATAACAGTACACTTTCAGCCGCTAGTAATAGACTCTTGATTGAGAAAAATTAAGTCACTGATGCAAGGAACAGCTTAATTAAGACCACAAGCAGATGAAGAAGAGATTTCTGTTTTTCAGCAGCGATCATTACAGTGGATAAAGCTGAGCAAAATATAATTGACCGTTTGTGTTGAGATGGATTCCTCTTTCAGAAGGAGAGCAGAAGAGTGTTAGGTAACAGAGAAATTACTTGGAAGAGTCGGCCAGGGTTCATCCTCTCTCAGAGTCTCGTACCACTTCTAGGCAGCAAAGAATAGAGACAAGGGGACATACTGTGGCTAATGAGAAGTAGATAAAAACACTAATGGTGCAAGATCAAAGTCACGCAAGGGAAGAGCAGAATAGAAACTGCACTTAGTGTAAGGGAAATGACTGATGGATTGAAGTTGTTACAGTGTGCATGTGAGTTTGTGTGTGAATGTGTGTGAAAAGGAAAGAGAAAGGGCTGTGTACAGAAGAGAGGAGATGAGAGGAGAATAATGAGTAGGAGACAGATGGTGTGAAAGAGAGAGAAGAAACCTCAGAGTGACAGAATCTGAAAGTAAAATGTGGAAACACCTTAGGAAACGAAGTAATCAGTGATTCTGTGCGTAGGTTTTGGTGTGTGTAAACTAAACTAAAGTGTGTATGGGGCTGTAGCTGAAGTCAATTTTGATCCCTGCCTCATTCAGGGAGTCAGTGTTTGTGTGATCTTTACACGTTTGCATTTGCAAGCACAAAAGCTCTGGCCCCAGCTCGTGGAGTTGGTCTTCTACCTGTTCTACGTATTGATTTTATTATGGAGCTTATAGCCATGTATGTATTTTATCTTTTTTAAGAATTTTTTTTTTTTTTTCAAGTAAATGTGGACTTTTTTTTATAGAATTCCTCACAACCACAGATCTGCTGTTAAGGCAGATATGTGGATATTGATTGTGAGGTCCCTGGTTTCTGTCATGGACATGTATGCAAATTAGCTCATATTTAGTTAGGTAATGGGCAATTTGCATAAATACAACTTCAGACAACCTGTAATACAAAAAATAATTGTCTTTATGTAAGTAATCAGCTAGGGAAGTTTCATTGTGATAACTATTAGGTTTCCATGACTCACCTGTAGTGTCCTAAAGAAAATGTAATTTGTCTGGGTGCCTTCAGATAAAAGAGCTGAGTTTGAGTATGGTATGTCTACCCAATGTTTCTAAATTTTACACTGGGATCTCCACCGTCTCAGTTGACTCAGATGAGTCAACTGAGACGGTGGAGATGTTTGTAAGATATAATAATTTTATAATATCTTTTTTTTTTTTTTTTTTTTTTCCTAGGTTCGCCGGGCGACGACAGGCAGAGTGTTGCCATGAAGGATTTATTGGACGCCATATATCCCAGAGTCGACCGACCAGACTACGTCGTCCGTCTGGAGCCCATTCAGACCACTAGCAAGGCCGTGTTCCAGTACCTCACCACGGAAGAGGAGCTGGCGAGATATCCATCACACACACCCAGGTCAGTGGTATGCCGATGGAGTAAGATGTACTATAACTTTTAAAATGTTACACGAATTTAGTTTTGTGCATTGCAGCTGGCGTAGACTTGACTATAGTGTACTTGAGCCAAAGTTTGTCCCTCAAATCCTTCCCATGTCTCAGGTATTATGCTTCAATGTCCTTTACAGTGCCAGAGAGAGCCCGGTAGCATGGGAAGGAGAACCAGTGGAGGGTGCGGACAACAACCAGGCGAGCCAGCGAGGTGGGCCAGAGAGCCACAGCAGCCCGGGACACAACCAGGGACAGAGGAGAAGGGAGGCTGAGGAGGAAGCTAAAGAAGAGCAGCCGCAGCCTGAAGACGAGGGGTCCACTAGTGGGGTAGGTGACTGCACACGTGAGGAGTAAACCTGCAGTGAAAGTCCGTGCATGTACATGTTTACATTCCTGAGAAACAGCCGTCATTGCTGTGTTTTTTATAACCTGACCAACACACGAATATCTGACTCAGCACAACTAACAGGACAGAGTGGAAAATCAATCTCCCTCCCTTCTTTGTTCTCCCTGTGCCATCAGGTTGAGGACGTGACAATCTCCTGCTGCCTGTGCGGTCAGGACTTTAACTCGCGCCGCAGCATCAGGCGTCACTGCCGCAAAATGCACCAGACCAAACTGGAAGAGCTCCGCAAGTTCACAGAGACGCGGACAGTTCCCACAAGTCTGCTCTCTATGGTGAAAGGTATTTACACAAAGTATATTTATAAATTGATCAGTATTTTAGAATATTGATTATAATGTTTGTGAAAACATGCTGAAAAGAGCTTGTATACTCATATAAGCACTGGCTTTCAATCTCCACAAGGCCAAAAAATATTTTCAAAAGTTGAAAAATTACTTATATATACTATTTATTTTTTATACTTATCTAAGACTTTCACATAACTGAATGATCAGAGAAATGTAAATTTACTGCCAGTTGACATTTTATCTTGTAAAAAAATTTCAGTTTTGTTTTGTTTACTTTAGACCTGTCAGCCAGTGCCACTTTTGTTTTTCAAAGTGATTTATCTGTTGGAATAATAATTATTCTTGTTGATGCTGGAGGTCGGCCGAGGACTCTCAGCACACCTACTGGAAAATCCTGCCCAGTGTGCCTCAAAACCTTTGCTACTAAAGCCAACGTGCGCCGTCACTTTGACGAGGTGCATCGTGGTCTGCGGAGGGACAACAACACACCCAACATTGCCTCGCGGCCCGGCCAGCCCTTCCCCCTGGAGGTCACGCCTCCCAGGAAGAGCAACAATTCCTCTCCAACACGTGGCCACAACTCCAAGACCACCCCCGTGAACTCTAAAGCGGCGCCTTCAAACCAAAACCAAGCCAAACCTCAGACTCAGCTCCCAGCCTCTCCACAGGCGAACCCGGCCTCATGCCGCTGCACGCTCTGCAAGAGGAACTACAGCTCTCAGGTTGGTTTCTTTGCCTTCGCTTTCTTAAAGGTTTGGCTGTCGCAGCAGTTAAAGGTGCTCTACGCTCGGTCTACTGGGTACTTATTTATTTTCATCTTAAATGGGTTGTCCTTATCCTCGGGAGTCAAAACATGACAAGGGAGAAAAACCAGAAATTATTGGTGTACAGTTACATGAATGTGCAACAAGATGTTTCAGTTGATCGTTATGTTTATCTGTGTATTTCAGCTCATGTTGAAGAGGCACATGCGTATTGTCCACAAAATATACAGCATCAAAAGTAACAGGTCTGCTCCCACGCCGACCCCTGCTACGACAGCAGCTACTCCTAACAGCAGCAGCGCCAACGTAGGCCCGAGCAACAACATCCGAGTGAAAGAGGAGGCAGTGGAGCCGTCAGACGAAGACGAGGACGAGGACATCGACAGCAGCCCGGCCCCGTCTCCGAGTGATAGCACTGGGGCAGCCAAAGGTGTTTCTGTGGCACACAACGCCATGAAGGTGAAGGAGGAGGAAGCCCCGTCGAGCCCAAAGATGATGTTGTCCTTATCGTCGTCGTCGACGTCATCTTCCCGCGGGGGCAGCATGTGCAGCGGGGGCGTGGTGGCCAAAATGACCAAACTGTCAGTGGGATTTGACTTCAAGCAGCTCTTCTGCAAACTGTGCAAGCGACAGTTCAGCTCCCGTCAGAACTTAACAAAGCACATCGAGCTGCACACGGACGGCAACGACATCTTCATCAAGTTTTACCGCTGCCCTCTCTGTCGCTACGAGTCACGTCGCAAACGTGACGTCCTGCGCCACGTGACTGTAGTCCACAAGAAGTCGTCTGCATACCTCGCCAAGATCATGCCCAAACTGGAGAGCAGGGCGGTGAAGAGGCTCGCCGAGGTCGTCCTCAACAGCACCAGCCCAAACAAGAGGACGAGCAGCAGCGTCAAAGAGGAAGTGAACGGACGCCACGCCTCTTCGTCGTCCTCCTCCTCTCCTTCGCCTCCCGTCACGCGCAAACAAGAGTGCGCCACACCTGCCCCGACCTCCTCCTCCTCAGCTTCCGCCGCGTCCTCTTCCTCCGCCCCGCCTCCTGCCCCCGTCACTCGAAAGCAGCAGGACCTCTCATCGCCTGCGTTCACCCCCTCCCCCCCTGTCACGCGTAAGCAGGAGAGACAGCAGACCAACCAGCATCCCCCCGCCAGCCCACCACTGACCCGCCGCAGTGAAAAACACACACACCAACGCAACTCCTCCTCCTCCTCCGCCACCCCGCCCGGCAACCAACCACCACACACCCGGCGGCACGATGCCCAGTCAGAGAGAGAGAGCAGCACCACAGGGACGTCCTCCACTGAAGTCAGGGTGACCAAGAATTTCTCACTCCACGCCTGTGACCAGTGTGGACGAGCCTTTGCTAAGAAGGTATTTGAGATTCAGCTTCTCACACACATTTTTTTCTTTTTCAAAGTCGCAAAATAGAGAGCAACAGTGGAAATGATCTACTGTATCAATTCCAGTCTGACGGGTCTCTGTCAGGGCGTATAGTGTGCTGGATAAAATAATTATCGTCACAGGCTCTGCCCTCATGAAGACTCTAGGCAAAGAAATGTCATGCACCGATGATTCAAAGTCAGACATCCAACCAAATCACTGATTGGGATATGCAATAGATTGTATTTGAGAAGCATCGTGAAAAATGTCAGGATTGTAAGAGGGAATTATTTTTTTCCATCGTAAATTATTATCCTTCATTTATTGATGTAGTAGTTTGCCACATCTCTGACCCAAACACCATCTGAATCAAGTAAAGCTGAAATGAAAAGTCAAATAATTGAATGAACTTTAATTAAAAATGAATGAATTTTCAAGCTAAAACTCAAATATTTTCTGTTTCCAGCGTCACAAATGTGAGGGTTTACTGCTTTTATTTAATTTTAAATTGAATACGTTTGGCTTTTGGACTGATGGTCTGACAAAACAAGACATTTAAAGATACCGCCTCGGACAACTTGAGGGGCCATCTTCACTATCTCACACATCAGCCGATTCCCGCCTCAGAATCAGATGTCGTCATTATCTGCATTCTGCCTGCAGTGCGATATTAAAGATGTATAAACCAGTAGCTTAACTTCATGTAATAAACAAACAAAAAAAAAAAAGAAAAACCTGTCATACATCTGCATACCATATGGATTTATAACTTAAAGCGTTTGTGTGAATGATCTGTTCTGTGAATTGTCTTCGTCAGCTGTACCTGGAGTCTCACAAGCGAAGCCATCGTAACGCAGCAACAGCAGCAGCCAGCAGGAGGAAAGGAGTCAGCACCCGCTCCAAATCCCTGGTCTGGTGAAAGACTCAGTGTAAGAATAAAGAGGGTTTACCTGCAGTACAAGGACTCAGCCACGTCATCGCTGTCTATCTCTCCTCTCTGTTTGCTTCTTTTTTCTTTTTTTTTTCTCTGTTTTCTCTTTGCCTCTGAGTTGCACCAGATTTCCATACCGTCTTGTTTCCTTCCTCCCTGCGTATTCAGAATCCAAAAAGACACGCTGTGTACTCGAGCAAGTATGTGAATGTCTCTCGGTGTACGTGAGCTCGATTTGTGAGATGAGTTTCCTTTGTGACATAAGAAGTGTGTTTATATTTGTGTAGACGACCATTCCCAAGGGGCAGAGATGAGAAACTACCATCATTCTGCAGCCTTTAATTGACCGCTCAGAACACTTCCTATGTTCTTCCTCCCGCCTATTCCTCCATGTATCAGGCTGCTCATTAGAAATCTTCCTCTTTGTCTGACCGTTGTTCTTTTATCTGCATCTTTCTTAATAATTACCTCTTCCTTCCGTACTTTATCTCTGTTGATCCTTCCCCTTACAGTCTTTATTCTCCTCTTCCTTTTGTTCACCTCTCTCCTCATCTTGTTCTTCTCTCTGCTCACAGTCCGCCGGGGATAAAGGACCAGCGAGCTACTAACAGTGAAGAAGTGAATCAAAACTTTCAATTGGAAAAATAATGGGCGAATGGAACGAGCACAGAGCAGAGATGAAGGAAACAAACACGTCAGGAGTGAAGTACAAAGGATTTTCCTCCTTTTGCTTCAGAACCAAATATATTGTTGGAATCTGCCTTTTTTTTTTTTTTTGTATAGTTTCATTATGAAGCCAGCCTGCTTGCTGGACGGTGGCGCTGCTATCCACGGAGAGACTGCTCACTACTGCTGTATATATCTGTATTTACTTACCACAGTATGTAAATATAGATCCATATGCAGATGACTGATTTGTACTGCTTTGCTCTCGGTAAAACCGCCTATAGCAAACGGATGAAGACTATGGAAGTGTGTGTGTGTGTGTGCGTGCGTGCGTGTATGTATGTGCGTGCGTGCATGTGAGAAAGAGGACGGGAATCAGAACTGGATCGTGGCCTCCACAGGAAACAGACTGGAAAGAAACTTCTTGATTTCTTGATCTTACACGAATACACAACATGTATTTGGGTCCTTCAACTATCAACAGTTCAAATCAGTTACACAGTTTATTTGATGTATTCAAAACCACCTGCGCAACATAACCATAGATCAACAGATCATATGAAACACTGTTGTTTCCTGCTATCTAACACAGAGAACCCGTCAAAGTGTTTCCCACCTGCCTTAGAGTTGAAGGTCACCTTTATCTTCTCATGTAAATGTTTCCTATTTGTATTATTCCTCACACTAGCAGCCCATAGTCTTATTTAGTAGTCTGTTTTATCTGCTCTGCAGTGACCAACAACAGGCTCTGGGGGCCATGTCTTGTATTAGATGATCAAATGTTCATAAATTACAAGGGTATTCTCAAAAGTTAGGAAGAGCCCAGGGTATATTTGCAGTTTTTTTTTTTCCCAAGAATTGTGTGTGCACTTTTTCTAATACCACGTCTATCAATTTCCAGTGGTCACTGGTGTTTCCTTACATTTCACTGTTATTTTCTGCCTTCTCTGCTTAGACTGATTGCATGCTTGTGAAGGGTGTTTCCTATACCTTGACCATACCTGACCATACCTCTATATATTAGCTAACTTATTAGCCCCAGAAGTAGCCTGGTTATATGGGAACCATCAGGCTACGAGAAGCAAGGCTTCAATAATGCATCAGTCACAAATTAAATAGGCTGAACATGAATCTTCTTTAGCGTTTTATTTTAGAACATGATGCTGTGACAGACAAAGCATACCCTATGTGGTTGTGTTAATGTGGGAGAGTTCAGGTTAGTGAGCAGGAAATATGGGACTGCCCATGTTATGAGGAATAATGTGTGTTTGGATGCATATATTTGCAGACAGGTCACCTTTGGTGTAACAGCCACACTGCTACAGACATTAGGAACCAGTATCTGGAAGACTTTATTTTCTGAAGGGAGATATCACACCGATAATCACCAAGATGATGGTGGTGGTGGTCAGACGGCAGTCCTCACACAGTGTTACTGCACCGTGCAGCACATCTATTGCTGTAATGCTTGTAGTCACTTTTTGGCCAGTCAGGGCTAAAATCAAAACTGATAAACAGTGCAGTATCACAGCAACGTGGGAGCTAGTGAGTTCTTGCGAAGCAGACGTGGCTATCTCAACTTGAAGCAGCCGCAGGCATGGCGGGTTTGGGACTCTGCTATTGGCGCTGCTAATATTGATCATAAAGGGCCAAAATGGGAAAGCTGCCTCTTCTAAGCTAAACACTTCACTTCCTCTGATTTAAAAGTTTACATTAAACTTTTTGTTCCATTAACAAGAACTGCAGGGGCCTGTTCAATTAAACTTTGTGAACGTTTCTTTTTAACCTTACCAACATGATCTCCTTTTTTTTTTTTCTTTTTTGACTAAATGCTGCATCAGTTCCTTTCAAAATGAGCTTTCATGTACTCAAAGTTAAGGGGGTTGCATTTGTTTGATCACAGCTCCCAAGGTAGTCTTTGAAACACTGGCACATGAGGAGAGGGGGAAGGAGAGGATTGAGGAAGACCAAATGTAGATAATGTCTTAATGTTCAAACAGAAAGCCATGAAATGGAACAAAAGCAGAAATAAAAAAAAAAGACCAAACTTTATTTTTATAACTGAAAACGCTAATGCGACAAGGTCTTGAGAACATGTATATATGGGTTCATCCTACAGAGACGGTATAAAATAATAGTTATAATAGTCACAATAGTTATTGACTTGTATTAACTGTTGGTTGACCATATGCTTCAAACATGTCTGACTACTTACTCTGTCACTGTTTAATACTGAGGCAAGTTTGCGTTGTTCCACGATTAGTTGTCTTTTTTTTTTTTTTTGTATCATTCCTTTTTAAAGAGGACGTTTTTGTTGGGATGTCGAGAAGAGACCAGGAATCAAACCTCAAGAGACTCTTTGGATTTTTTATTTTGTCATTTCTTTAATCATCAGTTGTAATATGTTATTAAGCTCACATTCTAGAGATCCTAAGAAGAGTTAGAGAAGCCTTTCAGATGTGACGAGAATGTTAAAACCAACCACTTAATAAATAAAAATGTACTGCTTCAAACCTCAGAGGGGAGTTTGGTATTGCTTTGGTTTTTTTTTTTTTTTACCTCAGATATGAGTCACATACTTCCATCAGTCATGTTTGTTTACTGCACTTGCAGGGAGAAGATTTCATTTGCCTTCACAGGAACTGCTTCTTTAGACTTTTACATTTTCAGTCATATTCTCCCTTTTTTTTTTTTTTTGAGCTTTCTGAGTTGGCTTCTGACATAATTTCCTGTGGTTGCAATACGTCTCAAAGAGTGATAACAAGGATTTATGTGGGTGATGTCAGTGCACATTGACCTGCATATAGTGAAAGGAATCAACGCAGGATATCTTTTGGTAGTATAGTAAAGTGTGAATTCACCTTAAACCTGATCCACTTACTATCTTTTTTACTTCCATTCTCAAATGGATGTTTGATGTTTAAAAGATGTAGGCATTTACCAGGCAGGAAGGGTCTGTCAAAAGATGGTTGCGTCATGGGAAATGTGGGATCTAACAGTTTGGGGGCTTAAAAAGTCCAGATACCTTGTCCTCTGCTCCTTCAGTTTTAAACATTGTTTTTCTAACCTGTCTCTCCCCCAGCATTGCAGCACTAAATTCCTAGCGTCTTTGTTAGAGTGCTTTTTCAGGGAAGAAGGAAACCTCTTGAGAGATGGTGCTAACTTCAAGGGAACCCAATATTCTAAGGAAATCAAGCTTTATCTTACTTGAGTCTTTAGACCCTTAAGGACCCTTGATGCTCCCTGGTCCACACATTGGAAACCAGTGCAGCAATAGTCTTTCAGGCTGTTGTAGCCTCAGACATACTAAACAGCTTTAGATATACTCCGATCTCCACTTTACAGCAATAGAAGAAATACTCAGGTCCTTTACTCAAGCAAAGGAGCAACAATGTCACGACACTCCACTACAAGGAAAAGTCCTGCAATGAGAAAGTATAGTCTCATAAACAAAATAGAAGTATCGAAGTAACAGTAGATGATGCAGAAAAATGTGTCCTGACTGTTATAACTTACTATTAGATATTACATTATTACTGTTGTAGGTGGAGTTCATTTTAACCCACTTTATATATAGTTCATTATAATAAGGCATTATGTTTTATAAACTGACCATATGTAAAAATTGTAATTAAGTAACTAGTACATAAGTATTAGTATAAAGTACCATGAAATAAAAGAATAGTGAAGTAAAATATCTTCAAGTGGACTTCATTGCAGTAGCCTAAGGGTGCTACATTACACATTCCTATAGTCGACTGCATCCTGTGCTCTCCTGCGCTTGCTCTGTTGCAAACACACGACTTGTGCCGCCAAGTGGCGCCATTGCACCGCGTCCCTCCGCCGTCGCCCTCAGCCGCAGCGGCGAAACCACAAATTGGACATGTTGCGCATATCTTTCCACATTGTCACATAAGAGAACACCCGGGTCTGTTTCGATTGCCTGGTTTCTCACTCCACACAGCTTATCAAATTGTTATTACACAGCAGATGGGATGCGCTTCATTTATTTAATTCCATTCACCAAAAAAAAAAAAAAAAAAAAAAAAAAAAAAAAGCCACGGCGCTATGGTTTTACAAGGGTGGGGGTGGGGTGGGGGCAGTAAAAATGGATTGAAGTTCAGGCAATTAAGAGTGTGGCGCAACGCCTGTGTGAGCATATTTTGATGACTTATTAATGTGCGCAGATAACCAAAGCCCTCTATTGTGGAAACTATCGATCCGATTGATTAGTAATAAACTTGATTGAACGTGTGGACAGTGGCGGACAGACAGTGGTGCAATTAGACGATGATTTGGTGAGGGCGGGTGGAGGCAGATGTCTGAAATACATATGTTTCAGGTGGAGTGGGTTCCGTGCCTCAGTTGAGCTGCGGGAAGTCGTGCGCTGTCCCTTTCAGCACCGACGACCGGAGGAGCTGGAAAAGGAGTGAGGGCGCGCGCGTCCGTGCTGTGCTGGAGTAACGGCCGCGAGCGGACTTCTTCTTCTTCTTCTTCTTCTTCTTCTTTTGCGCGGGCAGGGTTCATACGCAAAGTGCGGGAAGCTGAGAGATGACTATGGATAAAAATCAGGTGGGTTATACCAACATTATTGATCATGACTGACAAGAGTCCGCGCGTGATGGATTCCTCTGCTCTCTCTCTCCCTCTCTCTCTCTCCCTCTCTCTCTCTCGCTCTCTCCCTCCCTGTACCGGAGACTCATTCTTGGGTATCCACTTCATTACAGGCAGCCTCCCTCTATTGTCTCCTTAAACAAATGCGGGGTTAAAATTTTTTTTTGCTTTACTACCACTGAAACCCGCTCTGCTTCTCACGACGGAGCACTTTTCAAATATCGACAACATACATCCTTTTTTTTTCTTCTTCTTCTTCTTCTTCTTCATCATCTTCTTCTTCTCCTCTCTCCGGCTTGTGGATGGTCTAATATTCCTTAAATATTTTTTTGCTTTTGTGGAGGAAAAAAAACAAACAAAAAAACAACAACACACATCTCACCACTCCAGGAGGACTGGTGTTATTTTAGGGTGGGGGGTGTGAAAAAAAAAAAAAAAACTGCTGAGCTCCGCAAGGAAGTTGCTTGAGGCGGACAGGGACCCCGAGGAGTCCGCGGAGGAGGCTGGAGACGGGAGCTTCTCACCCCTCACACTCTGTCGGATGAATTTGATTTTCTGAGGTATCTCATATAGGCTCCCATCATTTCCTACCCCCCACCCCCCCATCCCACCCCCCACCCCACGCTGACTGAATGCTGTTGCACTGTTGTTGTTTTTCCTCTCACATTCCTCTAGTGATGGCTTCTGAGCAGTCTCTTATTTATTGTCTCAGTTTGTCTTGCTGCCTATTTCTTGTGGGATTTTATTGATTTTTACCCCTAATTTTTTGTTTTTCATTCCACATGGATTCTGTGCAGTAGAAGGTAGGTGAGCAAACGTCTTAACCGGCACATGGAAAGAGCTGTGTTTCCTATAACTCAGCATCGCCTGGGTACTGTAGACTGGAGTATTTAAAAAAAAAACAAGGAGACATGAGAAAACAGGCTCCATAATTTGCCCTCCCTACAGATATCATTGCACTGGTGCTCCTCTGCTCTTACTGTGGATGGCACTGTCTTAATTAGGGTGCAATCAGAATACCACCACTGCCTGTACAGAGAGAAGCCTATAGGGCTGCATAATGAGCATACACCCTGAGACTTTCATCTCACAGTCTTATTTCTGAACCTGTGGGCTGTGTTTTATCTCCAGACACATGACTTCATCACGTCAGTGGCATGTATTTTGAAACTGATCTCTGTCTCTTAGCAATGTAAAGCTGGGATTTCGTGCGTTGTATGGAAGCAGTCGAAGAGGTGTCTTCACTTGTAGATAGCATCAATGGGAAATGTCAAATGTGTTGGCAGATGAGTCTAAAAGAGAGAAAATGAATTTTTGCATGCATTTATTTCATTTGCAGTGTGGGTAAGCCCAACACACAGAGCTCTGTGTGTGTGCGTGCGTGTGTGTGTGCGTGTGTGTGTGTGTGTGTGTGTGGGGAAAAGATGGAGGGTGTATTGAGGCAAGATCACCATTTGAGTGCGTCTTTGGACCACGATCTTGTAAAATCGTGAAAAAAAAAAAGATGCCTGAACATGTGACAGATGGTTGGGATCGGAGCAAAGGGGGGGGTGGGGGTATCAGGTTGAGAAAAAAAACAAAAAAACAGAAGACCAAAGAGGTGGCAGAGAGATCGACCGCAATTGTTAAGCAAGAGACTCAGAGAAACACCTACTTACAGGGAGGGAGAGAATGAGGAGGCAAGGATGGGGAGAGGACAGGGCAGCAGAAAAGCTATCACTTTCTGAAAAGAGCAGCACACTCCCCTGAGGGATGAGGAGGCCCTGCAGAAAGTGATGTGACGGGGGGGGGGGTATGACGGCAGTAGAGGAGCAGAGGAAGGTGGTAGAAGTGAGAAAGAGGGGAAATGAGGAAGGGAGAAAAGCGGAGGAAAGGGAGAGAAACTTGAAAATAGCTGGAGGTGAGGAGGTGATGACGAGGACAGGCTGAGGAGGCCAGGTGTGGAGCAGGGAAGGAGGGAGGCAAGAGGAGTCAAGGGGAGAGAAACGTGAAAATAGCAGGAAGGAAGGAAGGAAGGAAGGGGAGGAAAAGAGACGAGGTAAGAGCAGTGTTGGACAAGGAGCGGGCAACCCTGACATAGGGAAGCAGTCGTGGGTGTAAATTAAAGAGAGTGATGAGCTAGCCGCAGCCTCTCAGGGTTCAACCCTCTTCATCTGTAAGCCACTAACCCATCACAGCAGAGGAAACCTCCTTCTCCGGGATGTCTGCCTCCTTTTAGGCTGCCACACGGGAGCACAAATCTAGTTTCTGAGCCTTTGTAAAGCATCATAAAGTACAGAGACACTCACGGGAGCCTAGGGCTTCAGTTAAGGTTGAAAGATAAATAGCTATTAAGTTATTAAGGATATAGTATAGAGATCAGATTGTGACTGATAAAAGAACGTGCAGACAAGGATGTCGCTGGTTTCCGCCTCCTTGGAAATGTGATAATTCTCAATGAGCGTTAGCGTAAATGAGACATGAAACTTCTAATAACCTCAGGGCCTCAGTTCGGTCACGGGCGTTCACACACATCGCCCGGATCTGATCTTTTGCCCCCCCCCCTCCCTGTTTTGAGATGCTCACGAGCTCAAGCTACATCTTGAGAGAATGATTTGAAATCACAGGGGCGTGCACCCCCATGATTAAAGATGTCCATTAGGTTAGCTTTAGTCCGTGTGGCGGCTTCTGTGTTTGAGGAAGATCCAATTTCTTCCAAATGCTACGAGCTGAAAGAAAAAGATGAAATGAGCAGCAGAAGTCAGGGGAGATGATCAACACAAGCAGTCTGAGAGCTATATTGGATCCTAGTAGTCTGTTGTCAGAAGCAGATATTAATTGCAGTTGAATAATTGGGTGTAGTAAGGCTTAATAACAGGGACCTCGAGCCTCCGTTGAACCCCCTTCCTGTGCCTGAGC